TCCTAAATTGTGTCACTAAGAATTTTGTCTAAATGCAACAAGGAGACAAAGGCTCTGCTTAAAGGGGTGAAAACATCGAACAAAATGGAAAATCTAGGTCTGGAAATAAGTCACTGTGTGGGTTTGAGAGTCCCAACTTCACTCCACATTTCTGCCTTAACATGTGTTTTGGTTATAAATTGCTGCAGAACAAACTACTTCAATATTTAGTGGCTTAAAACAACAATTTTATTATGTTTTCTATTCTGTGGTTTGGCATTCTGAAGTATGTCTATTTGAATGAACAAAGTCAGCCTAAGCTTCAGCAAGAACTGAACTCAGAGGCCATTTTGCACACTGTTTCTCCCATTGTTCTTAAATAGGCTCTGTTAGATGGTTCTTCTGCTGATCTCACTTAGGGTCTCTTTGCAGCTGTTACCAGATTGTGGGCAAGGCTTGAACACCCAGGACTCTCCTCTCGTGAGTCTGATAGACACCCTGGCAAGGATGCCTAAGTCTGGGACTGTAGCTGGTAAAGGCAGGGGGAGGACGTGGCTGATTTCTTTCTCTCTTTCCACTGGCCTCTACATGTGGTGTCTCTCCATGGTCTTTCCAGCAAAGTAGCTGGACATCTAACACTGTGACTCAAAGCTACTGACCTTCTTACAGGCTTAGGGCTGTAACTGTCTGACTGTCCCTTTTCCTGCATCCTATCAGTTGAAGGAAGTCATGGGCCCACCAGTCCAGATTCAGTGGGTAGGAACACTGGAAAGTATGGTTCACTGGGGGCCATTATTAGAGACCAGCTAATGTGTCATGTTATGTATTTTCGTCTTCAGCCACCAACAATCTAGTGATGTTATCAATCCTGCATGATAAACTGTGTCATAAAGATTATTTAGTTATTCCACAACTTTTTCAATTGAATGCAAGTGTAAGCCACTAGGATTTGCTATCTATGAATTGGAGTTCTGTCATGGTACAAAGTACATTTTGAGGTAATCTAGACTCTACTTAGTTAAGGTATATGGTTGGATAGAGAATGAGAAAGGAAGAATGTGGGAAGCCAAGTCACTAAGTGCTTGAGCCAGGATGAAGCCATACATATATCATTCAACAGCTTCCTTAAAAAGTAACCCTGAGTCTATTAGGCATAATAATCTAGAAATCTAAAAGAGGGGGATTCCGGAAATACAGTGACCCAAATTCAGCCCTTTGACTTCCTCACCACTTCCAATCTGTTAGTCCCCACCTGACTGATATGGAACACTCTTCTTCATCTGAGTGAGCATCTGGAGACCAGCTTTGTAGAACCCCAGGAAATAATTTACTTTGTGAAGATTGGTAAACCCCAGGGAGAAGGCCTTCATTGGCCTTTCATGAGAGTACCAGGTATCCCTGGTTTCCAAGAGGCCAAGGGGTATAACAGGAGGACAAAGTATCAAAGAGAACAAAGAGCCTGGGGAGCAAAAGAGTTCCCCAACATAGTAGAGGGTAGCCTGCTACCTGCTGCTAAACTAGAGAGCCATTAGGTGTTGTTAAAGAGAATGGAGATCTCATTTACCCCCAATGGGAGAGCTGCCATTGATCAAACAACCTGAGCCCCTAGAAGACTTAGCAGATATTTTATCTTAGTCATTTTTTGCTGCTACAACTGAATACCACATAGTGGGTAATTTATAAATAAAAAAAAATATTTCTCACAGTTCTGGAGAGGCTGGGAAGTCCGAGATCAAGGTGCAAACATCTGATGAGGGCCCTCTTCATGCATCTGGAAATGGCAGAAAGTGTTAGGGCAAGAGGGAATGGGGGTGGTGTCCTCAATGGCAGAAGGGTAGAAGAGAGTGAACTACTTCCACGAGCCGTCTTATAGCGTGTTAATCCATTCATGATGGTGGATTCCTGATGACCTAAATATATCCCAAAAGGCCCCGCTCTCAACATGGTTGCACTGGGGATAAAGTTTCTAACACTAGAACTTTGGGAGAAACACTCTACTAAAAATGTAAAAATTAGCCAGGCATGGTAGAAGGCACCTGTAATCCCAGCTACTCAGGAGGGTGAGGCAGAGAATTACTTGAACCCAGGAGATGGAGGTTTCAGTGAGCCAAGATCACGCCACTGCACTCCAGCCTGGGCAACAGAGTGAGATTCCATCTCAAAAGAAAATAATAATAATAGAATTAGTTAGAAAATTTGGTAAGCTGGCTGTATACATGATAAATATTTTAAATAACCTATACCTCTCGTAGATCCTAGCCTTAAGCATCCCAAATCGGAATGGAAAACATTTCATGCACAGCAAAAACAAAAACAAAAAAAGCATTTAAGAATACGTTAAGCATGACAAGGTAAAGAAATCAAAAAATCTTATTGATGGACATAACACAAGATCAGAATGTATAGAAATCCATATATTCTTCAATTAGACAATTTAAAATCAAAAAAACATTTTTCCCAAAATTAATATTTAAATTTAAATTTTCTGCAACTCTAATAAAAAAAAACAAATTTCTGCCTTACATTTAGATAACATTATGTTACAATTTCTTGCTGAAGAAGAAATCCTTAAGAATAACCAAGATAATTATGCAAAGTGAAGGTAGTTGCCTACTACTGTAAACTGGATAAGGTCTCATTACGCAGACTCACCATAATTCATTAAACCTTTTTCTACTAATGGTTAATTCATTGAAATCAATACACATTCTTAAACACCTGTCCCTATGTACTAGTGCATATATTTACTGTGGTGTACCTAGGAAGAGTATTTGCTGGATTGCCCATGCATCTATGAACTCAGTTGGGATAAGAAATTACTTTCTTGTTTCATTGTTAGCTGTTGTAGAAGAGGCATCTTTGTAACTCTTCAATACCTCTTTGTTTCTTCTTTTTTTTTTGTAGAGGATATTGAATGAATTTTCATTGGATAAATATAAACAAACCCTTTAAAAGAGGCCCTTCCTTCAAAATTTAGAAAGGGTACGAATTCAAGAAAGTTTTAAAAACAAAAATATGCGCATGAATTGAGCCTAAGCTCTTCCTGTTGTGTTTGAAAACTTTTTGAAAAACTTCAAAACAACAAAAATGAGAATAACCCTTCGAACATAGATTACCAAGACATTTGTTTTGCTTACTCACAAAGCCTTTTGTACTCTCTTATACATAAATTTTTTTTAGCATTCTGAAATATTTCAATCATACATAAAAGCATAGCAAGTAAAATGAATACTACCTTTGTAACAACTATTCAGCTGTGTCAAACCTTCACATTTTACCATATTTCTTTAGAATTTTAAAATAAGGCATTTTAAATACAATTGAATCTACTGTTTATTCCTCTCCAATCTTATTCCCCTCCCTCCTTTCCTTTCTCTTCTAGAGGAAAATTACTCTGAATTTGGAGTTTATAATTATGCGACTTTTATAGGTTTATTATATTTTTATGTGATATGATAAATAATATTTAGAACATTTCTTAATGTTTTCTTACTCTATAAAAATAGTCTCATACAGTGTCATTCTTCTACTTGCTCTTCTTGGACAATATTTTGATTCTGAGATTTTACTAATTGATACACATAACTGAATCTAGTTGAACAACTATTTAGTATTATAAATATGAAACTTATCAATTCTCTTAAATACACAGTTTTATTGTTTCCAACTTTTTCCTATTGCAAGCTATAGTACAGTAATCATTCTTGAATGGACAATGTGGAAACAGTTAAAAGAATTCAGTCATTTTCTATTAAATTTCTATTAAAGAGATTTGCAAAAATGTAAAATAGTGCCACTTTTCACACTGATTTTTTTATTTGGGAAAATATAGTTATTTTCCATAAAAATATGTTATTTAAGTTAACAATATTAATTATATTAATAGTTAAAATTGACTTTATTACTGTTATTTCAAAATGAATAGGTATCTAAATTTCTCAGTTTTAATTTCTAATTTAGTAACAATTAATAGATAAAACTCACATAAACAATAGCCCTTTAGGGTTCTCAATGATTATTAAGAGTGTAGAAGAGACCGAAAAGTTGGGGAATCTTTGTATATTTTTTACAGGTTGTGTGTGTGTGTGTGTGTGTGTGTATGTGTGTGTGTGAACATATTTTCATTTCTCTTAGATAAATATCTACAAGTGAAAAATTTGGGTGAAGAATAGATGCTAAATTTTCTCACTGCTGCTCAGTTTTCCAACGTGGTTGTATGCTTTTATATTTTCTCCAGTTATTTATGAGAATTGTTACATATTTTTGCAAAATTTGCTTTTTTAATTCGTCTTTTTAGTCATTCCAGTGGCTATGCAATGACAGCTCGTTGTGGTTTTAATTTGAGGATGTCATTCTAGTGACTTTCTCCTCTAGGCTAAACCCTAAGCATATATTGTTAAAAATGCAAAAATCCCAGGGAAAGTATTATAGATCATCAGTGCTGGTCTTTTGTCCTTGCTCAACATTATTTATTAGGTTGTTATCCTAAATTACAAATAATGAGGATACAAACAATAAAGTGATTGCTAAGGTGTAAAGATAGTACCATCATAGTGCGTCACAGGTAGCATTGCCTTGGCTGAGACTAAGTTTTGATAAGGAGATCTTTTTAACAGTACTAGAAGTATGCAATACTTTACATGACGTAAAGGTGCTGCACAACTAAAACTCAAGTTAGGAAACCGGTGTAATGAAAACTGTACCAGATTGGGGGTCCAGTAGACTTGAGACTGAATCCAAGTCACTCTAGGAGGATTTTAGCCTCTCTGAATCTCAGCTTGTCATTGGTGATATGACGTTAATAAAACCTACATTTCAGAATTGTTGAGAGGATTAAATAAGATTAAAATAATTTACTTAACTTATTAAAATAATAAGGCATAGAGTGGTTTCTCAAATAATCTCCTATTTCAATCAAGTTCACATTTCCTATCCCTGCCTCCAGTGATGCTGAGAGGCTAAAAGATTTCAGAGCATCGGGTGGTGTGAGGTGTGAAAGGAATGTCAATCCATGCAGTATGATGGTGCTGAGTGGTCCAGCACTGACGTATGAGAGAAAGTAAGTTTCCTGAAGATACTTGGCCAAGACTGGCTATCTTTCCCCAACCCGTTTCCTCATGTTTCTCATTACAGTTATCTGTGGCCAAGTGATTGAGTTCTAACCATTGAAAGGGAAGGCCCCTGATATCCTAGGATATTATAGAACTACAAGATGGGAGGGCCCAATTTCCACACTGAAAAGTTACATAAGCTAGAAGTAAACTTTTATTATGTTAATTCAAAGAGCTATTAGCATTGTTTGTTCCAGCACTCTCCTACCTTGGCTAGGTAGAACAGATGGCACTACTTATAACTCTCTATAGAGCTGCCAGAGTTTTAACCTGGTGCCTCTCAGGTGCTAAATAAATACTTGTTGAGAGGTACGGAGGGGCTGGCTGGCCAGGAGGGGTTGGTGGGGCAGCAGGGCAGCAACCACGGGGAGCTTGAGGGATGAGCTGCTCAAAGCCATTTGGCATGCCTTCATTGCACTCGACCATGACCACAGTGGCAAAGTCACCAAGTCCCAGCTCAAGGTCCTTTCCCATAACCTGTGCATGGTGCTGAAGGTTCCTCATGACCCGGTTGCCCTTGAAGAACACTTCAGGGATGATGATGAGGGGTCAGTATCCAACCAGGGATACATGCCTTATTTAAACAAGTTCATTTTGGGAAAGGTCCAAGACAACTTTGACAAGATTGAATTCCATAGATTGTGTAGGACCCTCTGTGTCAAAAAAAAACCTCACAAAGAATCCCCTGCTCATTACAGAAGATGCATTTAAAGCATGGGTTATTTTCAACTTTTTATCTGAGGCCAAATATCCGTTAATTATTGTGACAGAAGAAATTGAATACCTGCTAAAGAAGCTTAACAGAAGCTATAGGAGGAGGTTGGCAGCAAGAACAATTTGAACATTATAACATCAACTTTGATGACAGTAAAGATGGTCTTGCTGCATGGGAACTTATCGAGCTTATTGGAAATGGACAGTTTAGCAAAGGCATGGATTGACAGACTGTGTCTATGGCAATTAATGAAGTCTTTAATGAACTTTATATTAGATGTATTGAAACAGGGTTACATGATGAAAAAGGGCCACAGACAGAAAAACTGGACTGAACGATGGTTTGTACTAAAACGCAACATAATTTCTTACTATGTGAGTGAGGACCTGAATGATAAGAAAGGAGACATTCTCTTGGATGAAAATTGCTGTTTAGAGTCCTTGCCTGACAAAGATGGAAAGAAATGACTTTTTCTCGTAAAATGTTTTGCTAAGACTTTTGAAATTGGTGCTTCAGAAGAAGAAACAGGAGTGGATTCAAGCCATTCACTCTACTATTCATCCGTTGAAGCTGGGCAGCCCTCCACCACACAAAGAAGCTCAACATCGTCTGAAGGAACTCCAGAAGAAGCAACTGGCTGAACAAGAGGAACTGGAGTGACAAATGAAGGAGCTCCAGGCCACCAACGAAAGCAAGCAGCTGGAGTTGGAGGCCGTGCGGAAGAAACGAGGAAGCAGCATCTCGTGCAGCAGAAGAGGAAAAGAAACGCCTTCAGACTCAAGTGGAATTTCAGGCCAGGTTCAGCACAGAGCTGGAAAGAGAGAAGCTTATCAGACAGCAGGTGGAAGAACAGGTTGCCCAAAAGTCCTCTGAAGTGGAACAGTATTTACAGCGAGTACGGGAGCTGGAAGACATGTACCTAAGGCTGGAAGAGACTCTTGAGGATGAGAGACAGGCCCAGCAAGATGAAGAGACGGTGCGGAAGCTTCAGGCCAGGTTGTTGGAGGAAGAGTCTTCCAAGAGGGCTGAACTAGAAAAGTGGCACTTGGAGCAGCAGCAGGCCATTCAGATGACTGAGGCAGAGAAGCAGGAGTTGGAGAATCAATGTGTTCTGGAGGAGCGGGCCCTGCAGGAGGCCATGGAGCAGCTGGAGCAGGAACGGAAACAAGCACTTGAGCAGTACAAGGAAGTTAAAAAGAAGCTAGAGATGGCACCTAATAAGACCAAGAGCTGGAAGGACAAAGAGGCCCATCATGAAGGATTAATTCGACTGATAGAACCAGCTTCAGAGAACCCTCACCTGATCACTAACTGGGGACCTGCTGCTTTCACTGAGGCGGAACTTGAAGAGAAAGAACTGGAAAGAGAAAAAGACCACGGAGTGACTGAGCTTGCTGGCTCACATCACATCAGTTAATGTAGATACCACATGGCGGGAGAGCTTTATGCTAAAGACAAAAGAAACAGCTTTGGGAGCCAGGCACAGTGGCTCACACCTGTAATCCCAGAACTTTGGGAGGCCGAGGCGGGTGGATCGCCTGAAGTCAGGAGTTCAAGACCAGCTTGGCCAACGTGGTGAAATCCTGTCTCTACCAAAAATAGAAAGAAAAAAATTAGCTGTACATGGTGGCAAGCACCTGTAATTCCAGCTACTTGGGAGGCTGAGGCAGGAGAATCACCTGAACCCAGGAGGCGGAGGTTGCAGTGAGCCCAGATCATGCCACTGCACTCAGCCTGGGTGAGAGTAAGAGTCCATCTCAAAAAAGAAAAAGAAAGGGCTCTGGTGCTTTTAACTCTTCTTTCTTCTGTGCCTCTCTAAGTGGGTCAATATCCTAAGGAAGCCTTATTATTTATCTTTCTGCAAATAAGGGCTACCTGAAAAGGGTCGGGGGGGGAGTCAATATTGTCAAGCTGTTTATTTACTCTTTCTTTGAAAATTTCAACTTCTGAAAATTACCTTTTAGCTCTCTCATATTCTTCCCCAAATGTGGCAGGGTGCAGACAGCAGAGTTTGGAGGGGCTCACGGCCACAGGGTAGTCAGGACCTCTGTGGACTGGGTGTCAGCTCTTTCCTTTGGCAGCGTGTTTCCTTCTCCGAGTATGTGCTGTTAACTAGACTGGGCAGTTTGCTTTCCATTCCCTGATACTTGACATGGAATGCCTTTGACCATTGGTGCTCTGAAAGAGAAGTCAGAGAGTCACTGCCATTTCCTGGTTGCCCTTTTGGAATGTGATCCTGTTAGTAGGGGTTTTCTAGCTTCTACTAAGATATTTATTTCCCTAACCATTATACACTTGACATGTTTCATTCCTGTCTTCTTTCCCCTCACCTTAAAGGAGACCACCCCTTTGCCCCATATTCTCAACCTAATTTTCTCCCATATTCACTCTCTCTAGTCAATGATGTGCTACTAAGTATATGCCAGGCTGTGAGAGGATTATGCTGAATAGCTGAAAGAAGCTAATTTGAAATAAAAATTATTTGGATAATTAAGAAAGCAAATTATATGCACATGGCCAATAGGAAGTTGACTGTATGTCTGCTAGTTAGATTCAAAACATCATAAAGATGATAGCATGCCAATATATTAGCCTAGCCATGATGTTAGCCTTTGTTAGACGGGAAGCTTTTCTGCTTTTTCCCTTCCTCTGTGATGACAATGGAGGAAATATCCAATAGAAATAAGTTTAACAGGGAAATTGGGATCATAGTTTATATATATCTGATTTCAAAGGAGTATTAAGGAAGATTTTCATACATGATCTATCTTTGGATTAAGGAGAACATTTATGAAATCAAGCCTTCTAACACTAGTTATAATTGAGAAGCAGCAGTAACTCCATGGGCAGCAATCAAGCTTAAAATTATAAATAAATATGGGGATAATTCAGTTGTTGAAAAAGGGGGGTGGGCAGAATTCAGTAGAATTAAGTCCTTTTCTCTCTGCAAGTATTAAATGAGGACAGAGAACCTCAGGTGTTCTTATGCTAGTGCTTGCTGAGTGCATACTAAGAAAGCAATTCCAAATAGATGTATACATCTAGAGAGAATGGTATTAGAGGTTTCAGTGTATGCATTTGGAAACTGGAATATAATCCCATAAATTATCACCTTTTATGACTAGAAAATATTTGCCAATGAAAAAGTGGTCTTTAGGTATTTGTCTGAAGACTTTTAGCTGTTTAATAAAACTATAATTTTATTTAATGATTTCTTGTAGTTATCTTTATAAAGCTTAGATTATTGTCTAAAATATTTTTGTATCATGTGCCTTTGAAATTTGACAGCTGATTTGGGTATTGAATTTCTGCCCTGCCATTTATCAGTATTATCATATTATTCAGTAGCTGGCAGGTGTATTAGACCAATGAGACCTAGGCAAGAAATAGAAACTTTCCTGTGGTTTGATTACACATTACACCAGAAGACCCCAGTATCCCTCATTCCAGCATGAGGAAAAAATATTTTACAAAGAAGCTAATCACCTATGTGAAATCTATGGAACAGTGTGGCCTTGGGGAGTCTCTGAGTGGTGGGGAGGGTGATGATAGAATATGTGAATTTCTACTTCTAAAAGTTGTGAAATAGGCCCTGCACTTTTGCAGAATGTCCTCCCTTCAACCTGGCTTAATCCACAGCTGTAGCTGAAAACATGACCTGGGGCTTAGCTGCCCTATCCCTGGGTTCTTGAAGACCTCACCGTCTGGCTCCCAGCCATCAGCCTAAGGACCGTCTGCTTTCTGGTCACAGGTGGACCTTGATATGACCAAGCAGTTTTATATGTGGTTGTGCAACAAGCTTCTGATTAATGCACAATGTTACCAATTTACATATTGGTTTCAGTGGCACTATGTCTAATGGAGGCAAAATACTTTTAAACAGTGCTTTGGCTAAGATAGATACTTGTGAATCAAAGACAGCACAGAAATGAACTAAGTAAATGCCATTTGGAATTATATTTTGATACTAACTGATTTTTTTGTAGTATTTAAAATGGTTTTACCTGTCGAAGGGTTTTAATTCTTGGTTTTACTTTTGTAATTACTGTACAGAAAATTTAAGGAGTGTTTGAGTGCTTCTGATAATCAGCTGTTTTCCTTAATAAGTAGGGATATGATCATTTTCAGGAATTATGCATGAAAAAAGTTTTTAAAATGTATTTTTGTGATGTGCTATGTTGAGAGGAAACCAAATATTTATTATTTTAAAACATTCATATCAAAACATTGTACAATGTAATATGCTCAACTTTTGCAAATTTTTGCTAATTTTTCTAAGATATATTAAAAATATTTTGTATTTTTTTAAGTAAAATGGATCCAGCAAGAAAATTAAAAATACCAGAAAAAAATTATTGAATTGATCATCAAAAAATAAACTAATAATTGATTAGAAAAAAATGTGTGAGTGGAAGAGTGGATGTGGGAAAAAAATTAATTTGCTTTTTTTATAAGATTGCTCCAGTCTGGCCCATGCCAGAGGAAACAATTTTAATTTCTTGTCCCAGTGGGCCTTAAAACTGTCTGCCCCTTCATGGGCTTATTAGGACTTGGAAAAGCTAGGGAAGGCTACATCCAAAGGTTATTATAGCAGTTTGCTATTTCTCTCCCCCATACCAATTCTTCTCTTTCAAAGATTTTATTGTACCTGGTACTAAAAAAAATTAAAACAAAATAATATAATTAAAAAGATATTTCCTGGACTTGAGTTGAATCTAAGAAAAACTCTCTAACAGTGTAAACATTGAAGACAGAATGAGTCTTGAAAAGCGCTGTACAGCCTAACCCCACTTTTTCACTGGTTCTCACCTCTTTAATAATCCACAAACTCAATACTTCTTGAAGAAAACCCAGCAGTCTCACCTCACTTCTCCAAGAACATTTCATAGCCAAGAGCTGTAATGAGGTCTCCTGCAAGTGCAACTCCCATTATGTTTACCAAATATGTTATGGTATCTTTACTGAAAGATTCTTGTCAATAGTGTGTGTCTCTCTGGGCACAGTTTACAGGGTAATTCACTAAACTTACACCGTTTTTTTTTTTAATCCTCTCTCAAGAAATGAGCTAATCTATACTAGGCCTCCTTGTCAATAGTGTGAATTATCTGATTTTTACTGTTTTCAAAAGCATTTTGCATATTCATAAAATGTTATTCAAATGTATAGTATTAAATGTATAGAATGGAAGACTAAGATGGGTTTGAAGTCAAAAGTAATTAATTTTGTTTTAGATAAGTCAATTAAAATTGAAGTACAGACTATATGTAGATTTTGTCTTATTAATTTGATATACTTCTAGAGAAGCCTAGGCAATATACAGTGGACTCATAATTATTTTAGATCCTTTATGAATCCATACATTTCTGATTCACCTGAATGACAGTAAGTTAGTCATAATACAAAAAGATATAAACTTTAAGAAGATTCAATTTGAAAAGTCAAATTTATAAAATATTTAAATTATGGGACAATTATTTCATTACAAATTAACTATTTGCTTCACAGAAGTTTGGTAATTTGTCAGTAGTTTAACCAAAAAGGCTGAGAGGTTAATTTAAAGCATGAGTAGAAACTTTCTCTGTTAAAAAATATAGTAATATTTTAGGTTTTGTGGGCCAGATGGTGTCACAACTACTCACCCTGACCTTTGTGAAGTATGTATGGAGCAAAATCAGCAATACATGAATGAGTATGGCTGTGTCTTCCAATAAAACTTTCTTTGTGGATACTGAATTTGAATTTCATATACTTTTATTGCATCATAAAATAAGTCTTCTTTCGATTCTTTTCAGTCATTAAAAATATAAAACCGTCTTAGCTCCTGGGCCATATTAAAATAGGGGACAGGCTGGGCTTGGACCACAGGAAGTAATTTGCTAACCCTAATTTAAAGTATTATGAACAAGCCTCAATTGGTAATCAGAATAAAATGAAGATAAATCATCATCAGGTGTGTAGGGAAAGTAGGGCTCAACATAGATGCTTCAGTTTAGAATTTAGCATTCATGGCTGGAAGGACCTTTGGCACTGTGGTGCAGACGAGAACACAGGCAGAGAGGTCCTGGGACAAACCTCAGGGCACAGGGAGCTGCCTTGACTAAGCCTGGAAGAAAACCCATGTGTAATGTCGTTTCATTGTATCTGTGCCTTTTCTTCTTTCCTTTGCTCAGATCGCACGTTGAGGAGTTCATGGGATTTTGAATAGTTTCAACCTCATCATTTTTTTCACTTACCTGTCTGCCTTAGACAATATAATTTTTAGTCATGGTTGACTCAACACACCAACATGGATTCCCAGGTCTCATCTCCTAGAGATTCTGACTCAAAAGTTGTAGGATGGGGCCTTGGAATCTGCATGTTTAACAAATCATCCTCGCCGGGCATG